ATACTTTTCGCACACATTATATATATATATATATATAAGCTCGGTGCTTCTTAATTTATATATAAAATACTTTCGAAAAGAAATAAGTAATATATATAAAATTTAAATTTTAAATAAAGCTTAAATTACGTAGGTTTTATTTAATTAAATTATATAAGTAATAAAAAGTTACATGTAAAGTACCAAAATAAATTTCTTTCTTATATATTTTAATAGCCATTATATTGGAATAAATTTCCTATAATACATGGTTATTAAAGAGAGAGGTCAAGTTTAAAAAAGTATATATTTATACAAAGCATATATACAACCCATCAATTTATATTTAATGAAGAAATATTTAATATCTCGTTTTAATGAAATAATAAAATAGCTTTAAATAATAATAAGAGAATTTTTGAGATTATTTTAATAATTCATATAAATTGATAGTGAGATAGAATAAAAAAAAACATTAGTACTAAATAAAATCAAGATTATATATAATTAAATTATTTTTGAAACTACACAATTTTATTAAAGAAATAAAACTTAAATTTATTTTCAAATCTTATTATTTAAAAACATAAAAAATTATGAAATATAAATATGTTTATAAATTATAAAAAATAGAATATTATTTCACCATCTCTCTCTATGAAAAAAAGTAAATATTACGTTATATTTATGATGTAATCTTAATTATCATTGATCAATGACATAGTTATCTTTTTTAAGGAATAACTAGAAATTTATCCGCAATTGCTAAAAATCTTGAACCGTGTATTCTGTTTTATTGTGAATCAATGTAGATATATTACCTTTAATCACGTCGATAATATAGAAATCTCAAGCATCGTCTCACACAGCCGTGATCGATAATGCACTGGCTCCGTCTGGTGGCGAACGATCGGACGACCTCTTTCCCCCATGTTGCAACTGCGCCTGTCCGTCTCCGGTGGCCGATGGCAAAGCGCGGGTTACGGTTTAAGTTGCACTTTAGATGCGAGCAGACGCGCATCTCTCTCTTTTCGGGTCTCGGTTACGCTTCGCGAATATCGGGCGCATGTACAATCAAAACGCGATTCGAGCCGATTGTGAACGATCTCGCGACGAGAATTGTGACTGCACGACGCGGATGATTGGTGAGTTTTGATATTTCTCTTTTTTTTTTTATCCCGCGAAATAGTTGCAACTTTTGCAACAAACTTGATTTTTGTTGATCAATTACAGCGATGCTAAAGGAACTCGTTTTTATCTTAGAGATCGAATACACGGGCCACTCGAGTAGCACGATCGAGTAGCATGTAGCATTGCTCTGGTTTTTCATATATTTGTATTAGATTTTGGTGCAGGAGCGACAACAGTCGCGAAACAAAACGCAAGTTGCTCGTGTATTCGGGCCCTTAGTCACATTTTTTATATAAATAAAAATAAAATATTATAAATTTACAAGTATTATTACTTGCACTTTGGATGTTCATTAGCCTTTTTTTGTATCAATGATTGAGATGGATATATTTATAGAATATCTCGAATCACAGTCATATGCCTTCTCAACTGTAGATTTTTTTAAATCGAATTGAACGAAAAATTGAAAAACATTAAAAATAAAATTGTATTGTTGAATTAAACATGTTATTTTCTTCTTACACATAATTCTATTTTCTGACAATGAATTCTGTTATGCACAATGTATTATCTATCATATATTTAACATCTTTTACAACAGAAATTTGAATTTAAATTAAAATTATAAACAAAATAAAATATTATAAAACTAAATAACTTATAAAATAGAAATATGAATAAAATAATGACCGAAAGTTTTATTTGAGATTGAAGTCATGCAAAATTGTTTGAAACTTCGTTATATTTTAAAATAAGAGAAAATATGTCTTGTAGAAAGTTTTCCATTTTCGATTTTATATCTCTTGGAAAATAACCCGTCGAGAACATTTTTGTGATGGAAAGATCGACTCGACAATGGTCGAGGAATCCGTGCGGTTGAAAGGAAGTATAGCCTTTATATCGCAAGACACCTTTGTATATTTGACAACCTTCGAAGGGAGAAAGGTGAAAGAATGCACAAAAACTGTAGAAAGTATAGTAGAAGCGGACACTGTTTCTTTAAATATTCAATCCTTTATTCCCAACTCTAACTGCAGTTGGTTAATATTTTCCGATTAAATTCTAATATGTTGTATTTGAAATATTTTATCCCGAATTCATGTATGTATATTGCTATTTACCGTTTTATTATTTTTTACTGCTAATTAATTTTTTTATTAAATTTTATTGTATTACTATTAAAAAATATCAGTTTATTAATATTTTATAAAGATTTTTCTTTTTCTGATAAAAATATTAGTTTGGAAAGTTTTTCTAATTATTTATATTTATTTATTCCACGTATTATATATATACACACTATCGAACAATTAAGTTTCGAGACTCGCTTCGCATTTCCGAACGTTTGATCCATTTGTGCTGCCATTTTAAGGGGTTATTCGCAATTCAATATTCAACACATGGTGCAAGTTTTAAATTATTTGGTTCAATAGTTAATGAGATACAGTCACGCAAAGTCGTATTACAAAATTTTGTTTAAAAATCAGTGTAATGGAAGGAACGCTTGACAATGCGCCAACATTAAATTCTGCGTTAAATTAGTGAAGTCTCGAACAGAAACGTTATAAATGATTCAACAAGCCTAGTCCTCTGAAGCAAGCCCTTTCAAAATTTAAGTTTTTTTTTTTGTCATCTGTATCTTCGAAACATTACTTTTATGCATAGCTGACTCTCCATAGGCTTGTTGAATTATTTGTAACTTTTCTGTTGGAGATTTCTCTAATTTAACGCAGAATTTAATATTGGCGCGTTGTCAAGCGTTCCTTCCATTACACTGATTTTTCCTTTAAAATGGCAGCACAAACGGATCAAACGTTCGGAAATACGAAGCGAATCTCGAAACTTGATTGTTCGACAATGTATATACATACATACATACATACATACATACATACATATATATATATATATATATATATATATATATATATATATTATCGAAAAAAATTAGAAAACTTTTTGAACAATCCACTATAGGAAAAACTGTTAACAAGCCTGTGAGTATTTTTTTATGTACTTGGCGTCGCGACGCTACTGCGTCGCTTGATTTCTCATTATTAAGAATAATTAACCAATTAAAAACTATTAAGATTAAAGACTTAAAGATTATTAATTATAAGTTTCTTTTGCCAAAATTTATTTTAATAGTACACTGATAAATATATAATTTTACATAAACACAGTTATTATATATATAGATACTAATAAATTAATAGAATACTTTTTGTTAAATTTTTTTTGTTATAAAATAAGAAATATGTGGTAAATTTGTTTTTGATAATTTTTTTTTTTGATAAATATCTATCTTGTCCTATACATATCTTTTGTTTATTATTTTTTGATAGATTATTTTGATCAAATTATTTGATTTATATTATATAATATATAATTATTTATATTTTATTATATTAAATATGAAATAAATAATCAGATCTCGTCAACGTGAATTAATCTCATGTTCTCATGCTGCGTACCGCAAGTCGGCCAAGTTTCCATGTGAAAAGATCGTTTCGAACCCAAGTTCTTGCCAGAATTCTGAGATTCACAGAAAAGAGTGGAGATTTTAAATTCTTATATTTTATTCTTGATTTTAAAAAGTAATGAAAGAAAACCATATATCGTGTTTTATAGAAAAAATTTTGATTTTAAATAAATAAGATAACGTGAAAAAAGTTGCGATGTATGTGTATATATGTGCGTGTGCACGCATGCACGAGAGCGACGATTCGTTGCATGTCGCGTCGTTTGCCAATATAATTGTATTTATCGTCGTCGAGTGGGCAAAGAATATGCATATAGTGCAATGACCTTTTTGCGGTCCCTTTCCCTGTATTAATACACCAGGATACCATATGCACTTTTAGCGTGATATTACATATGGATTATCGAAAGGGGATTGCTTTTCATATATACGTATTATTCAAATTACATTGAATAATAAACGGAAGCAGGACGAAGTTCTATTCTCGACTTCTATCATTTCTCTGCATTCGTTAATCCGCAATCTATCACTATGAATTAACAATGCCGTAACATTACCGAATATTATTTTATTATCGAATTCTATGAAACTAAATTCAAATATCTAACATAAATACATAATGATGGTGATCGGATTTCCATGATGGCCGTTGTTCGTAAAATGGATACTGATACGTTAGCGGCAATGTATGTCGAACGAGATAGGAATATACCTGAAATATTTCCTTGATAATGAATATTCTGAAAATAATTTTTTGCTTTTAAATCTCCCTGAAAAAGAGTTTCTTTATATATCTTCATATTTCAAAAAATAATTTAGTCTATAATTATAAGAAAGTTTATTACAAAGAATTTTTATAGTTCAGACTTAAAGCTTAAAACAGGACAAAGTATAAAGAATTTAAATTTTCAAAAAAATTAAATTATTTGAATATTTAAGAATGACTCATTTTTCTATGGAAGTAAAATTGATTTAAAAAATTTACATTTTTTATTTTTATGATATAGCAATATTTTTTTCATGATATAAAAATTTTTATAACATAAAAATATATTTTTATTGTATAAAAATGAAGAATTAAAATTGATTAAAAAAATTTATACTCTTTTATTTTTATATGATAACAAAGAGAGGGATTTGTTTGTCTACAATCCTTTTTTTAGATAAAAGCTTTTATTGCCGATAATTCCGATTACTTATAGAATGATTGACTACAAGCATCGGTATGGTACACATGTAATAATTTCAAATATGAACATACATTTATGTGGATGTGTATATCCTGTACGCGAAGTGTTAATACGATTTCCTTATTTTATGTATGTAATATGTGCAATGCATATGTGTGCAATATAATATCATGTGTACAATTTATATGTGTGCAATAATTTCATACCCGCACATACATAAACGTACGTTTATATTTTAAATTATTACATGTGTGTGTGTGTGTGTAATAATGTTTGTAGAAAATCGCTCTGTAGGCAATCGGAATTATCGACAATCGAAGCTGTCGGCAAAACGATGTAATCAAACGAAACTATTGATAATCGGCATCATGAGCAAACGAGAGATGCTTTCTATAAAAAATTCAGTTTTATTATTACAAAAAAATAAAAAAAATAAAAATAATATGTAATAAAATATTATCCATTCTTTATGCTATTGACGGTTCTTTCGTTGCTTCATAATCCTTTTACAAAAATTACTTTAGCATAAAAACTTTAACATTTAAAGTAGTAGATCAAGATTTTTTATTTTTTTAAATAAAATTATATGTATAATTTTTATAATGATTAGATAAATCGATTATTCTAGTTATTCTGCATATAAAAATACTGAAAGTATTTTCGAAAATTTAATAATTTATTTATATATACGAGATATTTTAGAACTTATTTATATATATGATATTGTGTGTGTGTGTGTGTGTGTGTGTGTGTGTGTCAAAATATAAAATATATCGTAAAGTACTTACTCTCTTCTATTAAAATACTCGCTAAATTTTTTAGAGTATAATAAAAAGAATCAATTTATATCATTATCTTTATAGAAATGCAACACAGTATCTGCAACATATAATTGCATTTTTAAAAAGTATAAAAATTTCTTTTTGCAATTATTTTTTTATTAATTGCACTAATTTATTTTATTATTTTGTGTATAAAAATATTAATTTAAGAAAATATTAAATTAAAATCATCAGAGAAAATAAATATTGTTAAAAATATATATTTTGTCATGACATACAAATATTATAACATAAATTATAAAATGTTTTATAAGTTATTAATTTTTGTGATATTTTTTTAATGTCTTTTAATATTTATGTCTTTTAATACTATATGTTTTTTAATATTTATGCATGCAAAATAATTAAGAAACTCGATTTATATAAAAAGATTAACTGATTTCATTTAAAAGACTTAAAATTATTTTAGTCCATTACTGAAAAAAAGAAGAATTGTTGGCAAAATTTTTACTGCAGTTGTTTGTTCGAAACACAAATATAGTTTTTAAAATTCTCTAACA